CGGTTGTTCACTGTGCGACTAGTCAAGAATGCGTACGGGTAACCTTACTCGGCGACTGGAACGTGAGACGGAAGTCTCGTTCGCATTGCGTGAGCCTGCAATCTCATCAGAAGTCAAGGGCGGCGTGGTCTGCTGATCTGGACGTGAGACTGTCGTCTCGTCCATAGACGGTGCGGATGACGCGTGATGTTGACTGGGACGTGAGAATGAGGTCTCAGGTGTATCTAGCGTAGGACCTGAAGATGGTTTGATGATCTCGCTAGTAAATTCGATAGGTCTAGCATTGAATCTAAGGTTATCAGATAGGGCACTGTCATCGACGTGTGCTGGTTTGAGACGATCAGTGCTGACGATCTCGACGCGGCCATGTCGATCAACCTTGAAGGTCTTTTCGTGACGAGCGATCACGTGAAAAGGGCCTTCGTAAAGTTGTTGCAAATGTTTGCGTGCCGAATCTACTCGTATGAAAACATGTGAACAGGTAGATAACTCTCGAGGGAGAGCGACCTGTCGATTTTGTATTCGAGTTGACACCGGAGACGGCGTTCGCATAAATAGAGACAATCGATGGACGTAGTCTGATTTACCGATATTAGGTCTGCTCCGTGGTGTGAACAATTCCCCGGGCAGACGCAATGACGTGCCGTATACTAGTTCAGCGGCGGAACATTGGATATCTGCCTTTAAGCTTGTTCTGATACCTAAAAGAACGAGCGGTAAGGTTTCGCAACAGTCGTCGTTTTCGTGTGCTCGAAGAGCACTTTTAAGTTGACGGTGAAACCTCACAGCTAAATCATTTGAAGATGGATGGTAGGCGGTAGTGCGTATGCGTTCCGTACCAAGCAGCCGAGTAAGTGAGGAGAATAGTGCGGACTCAAATTGTTGTCCCCGGTTAGCCGTAACAGCCAAGGGACAACCGTATAGAGCTATCCATCGTTCTACTAAGCAGTGAGCAACTGTCTCCGCCGTGATAGACGTGATGGGTATAGCTTCGGGCCATCTGGTGAAGCGGTCGATGCACGTGAGTATGTGATCATACCCATGCGATGGTGGCAGTGGTCCAATAATTGTCTAAGTGAACGTGATCGAAGCGAGTATCAGGCGTAGCGAAAGTGCCAAGGGGGCGGCTACGTGCCTGTGCACGTTTGATCGTTGACATTGTAAGCATTGCTTCGCTCACATACGAACATCTTTATTCATGGACGGCCAGACGTATCGTGCAGCGATGAGACGTAATGTGGCTGCTATACCTGGGTGAGATAATCCATGCAGGGCATCGAAGACGAGACGGCGATAAGCAGAGGGTACGATGGGTCGAGGAAGACCGGTAGAAGTATCGCATAGGATGGTGCCAGAAGTCGTGGCTAGAGGTACTTCCTGATACTTAAGGGACATAGAGTGTGGTGCTTTGGTACAACTGGGATCGTTTGCTTGGGCAGCGGCAATAGCAGGAAGATCGAGCACCGCAAAGTAACTGCATTCGTTTGGATTTGTGATAGAGCATCGGCAACACAGTTCGACTTGCCTTTGATGCGACGAAGGTCTGTCGTGAACTGGGAGATATAGTCCAAATGTCTGCACTTTCGTGGTGAGTAGCGGTCAGACTTGGTATGCAAAGCATACGTTAAGGGCTTATGGTCGGTGAATAAGATGAATTGACGTCCTTCTACTGCGTGCCGAAAGTGTTTGATGGCGCAGTAGGCTGCTAGCAGCTCGCGACCAAAAGCGCTATATCTCGTCTCCGTGGAAGTAAGGCGTCGTGGGAAAAACTCGAGGGGTTGCCAACTGCCGGAGATATTTTGTTGCATGACTGCCCCTATAGCGACATCGGATGCATCGACCGCTATACTAAGCGTGGCTGATGGATCGGGACGGGCGAGAAGAGTGGCTTGCGCAAGAGCAGTTTCGATCTCTGTGAATGCAGTACGTGCATAATCGTTCATTTCTAATCTGCGTGGGTTGCCGCGAATTAGGTCGGTTAGTGGTCGTAACCGTTCTGCCGCTTGTGGGATGAAGCGACAGTAGAAGTTAACCAAACCGAGAAAAGCCTTCAGCTCCTTGAGTGAGGACGGCATGTTGTACTCCTTTCTTGATTGCACTTTGTCATCACAAGGTAGAATACCCTCTTGATTGATAACATGACCCAGAAATATTATTTCTCGTTTACCCAACTCGCATTTGTCTGGGTTAACTACTATTCCATTATCCGAAAGACGTTGGAATAATAGTGTAAGATGTTGATAATGTTCATCTACGTTTGATGATGTGATTAGCAGGTCATCAATATAGACGTGAACAAAATCTAGGTCTCGTACAATGCTATCGATAAACCTTTGAAACGTTTGAGCAGCATTCCGTAATCCAAATGGCATTCGTAGGAACTCAAACAAACCGAAAGGAGTCGTGATAGCAGTTTTTTCGATATCTTCAAGAGTGACTGGTATCTGATGATATGTTCGTACCAGATCGATCTTGGAAAAGATAGTCGTGGCCTTGAGCGATGCCGTGATGTCGTGTATGTGGGGGGCGGGGTAGCTATCAAATCGCGTAACTACGTTTAGAGCTCGGTAGTCGCCGCATGGTCTCGAACTAACCCCATCTTTTTTTTGCACCATGTGAACAGGAGAGGTCCATGGACTGTGAGAAGGACGAATAATACCAGTAGCTAGTAAATTGTCAAACTCACGCTTAGCAAAAGCTAATTTGTCCGGTGCCAGTCGGCGAGGTCGTGCCGTGACTGGCGGTTCGCGGGTGACTATGTGGTGTACCACACGATCGGTCACCGATGGAAGCTCCTCGAGTGGTTTAGTGAGTACGGGGAATTTATCGTCACGCGAGTAAAAAGTGCTGGGGATTCGGTACGCATTCATGTGGGCTTTGCAGCCCATGAATTTGCTGTTCGACGAAGTATCGATTAGCTGCAGCCTACGTGAATCGACAAGCAATTCATAGTGCTGTAGGAAATCGATACCTAGTATGGCTGTGGGAACATTAGCAATGATGAACGTCCACAGATACCGTCGTCGGTTGCCCAGGTTGACCGCGAGTTGTCGTGTACCGTAGGTAGGAATGACTGAGCCATTCGTAGCGCGTAGTCGAAGCACTGTGGCTTGTGACTCGCTGCTACCTCGTGGTATGACAGAAACTTGGGCTCCAGTGTCTACCAGGAACCTACTATTTGTGCGGCAATCGTGCACATAGAATAGTCGAACAACCTGGGGTGAAGGGCTGGCGAGTACGGCCGCTTTTACTCGGTGGCGCTGGCGTTTCCCGCCTTGTATGAGCATGGTCCTCGACAACAGCGGGCGCCAGACCCGAAGGACCTATGAAACAGTACCAACTGTCGCTCGCTTCCGAAACCGCCTTTCGGCGTGGCTTGGAAGATGCCATTTTTGGGCGAGTGGTGACGGGTTTGCGAGAATTTGAGCAAGCTCGGGGGACCCAGGGTTGGGGTACTTTACAACGGTCTCCAAAACTAAGACGCGTGTGGATACACCCGTCCCTGTCGCCATGAGCTGAGGAATGACCAGCGTCTATGTCTACTTTAGGACTTGCCGTTGAAGCAACTACATAGGTGTCTCTATTACTAGCCCTCGCTAAAATTTTGTCTGCTATGAGGGCTACCTGGTTAAGCGGTGAGTCCTCGAGCAGTGCCGTCACAATAGGTTGGATATGAGCTGGTAGTGACTCGAGCCACAATTCCTTAACTATTTCGGAGTCAGATGCTGTTGGTCCTGCAAGGGATTGCAGGCGCATGAGGTGGTGGATAGGTTTAGCATCACCCAGGGGGTGACGTGCTAACAATGTCCTCAATCGTTCTTTCCTCAATGGGAAGAAATGTCGGAGAATTGCCTCTTTGAGGCGGTCATAAACATTGGGCACGTTGGAATTGAGGACGACCTCACGAACAGCTACTAAGTGGTCCCCGGGTAATGATTCGAGAGCGAAGCCGTACTTTTGCCTTTGGCTCGTAATGCGACGAGTCTCAAATTGGGACTCTAATGCAGCAAACCAAACCTCTGGGTCGTGGGGAATGAATCAGACAGGTCGAAAGTGAATGGCCTGTACGTCTGAGTCTATAACATTAATAGTACTCTTGTCGCTATCCGTCATGTCGTGTATATTATATATTAAAAATTAATATGAAAATATACGACAGACGTGGATAGATAAACTATAGACTCACCGAATTGGCTTCTCTGGAAGATTTCACCAGAGGTTGAGGCGTGTTCCAAACTTTGGGATCACCAATTGTAGCGTAGCGTCGAGTCGAGATTGGCTATGAACACCGCTACCAAAAAACACGTGCCAAGAAAATCAGAAGGCGTAGGTTGAACGTAACCAGATTTATTCGGTTGGCGATCTCGTGGTATCGAATGAGTACCGAGATCGTGCCAAGAACGGTACAAGCGAAAGCAGGAGAACGGAGTACGTGCGAACAGTAGCAAAAACCGCGGAACAATGATGGAAGGTAATGGAAGCACAAAATTGCTATAATTGGCAAAGTTAAACAAAAAGTACATTAAAACAAGCACTGGTACAGTTTGTTATAATAATAATAGTTTTTATTAAATCAGTCGTGTTCTCGTGATAAATGTGAGTCACTACAAATCTCTCAAGTATTGTTTAACGTTTAATAAATTATGGTTATTCTCACAATGAACAAAAGTTGCCAAATATCAGAGTAATTTTATCTTTTTAACTAAATGATGTGAAATTTTTGTCTCCAACCCCTAGAACTGTAAATGGAAAATGGTTATATCATAAGATAGGGTGGTTGAATGCAACCACTACGAAGTGATGGTTGTGAGTTCTAACATTCATTTAGTGGCATCCACTATTTTAAGGAATGATGAAGAACGTTATGTTTCCAAATATACTATCCGGAAAATAGACGAATTATTTCAGACAAAAGTTAAGGTGATATTTTGCTTGCTATCCACCCTTTAGGATGATCACTAGAGTGAAAATTTGGCTTGTTTAAATTATGTAATCAACAACACTCTTCTTGGAGAGGCTATTTGGACTTCTACTTTTTGATGGCGTTCTCTGAAGGTGATATTGAGAAAGGGAAGAAGCTCTTCGTTCAAAGATGTGGACAGTGTCACACCGTTGAGAAAGGTGGTCCACACAAAGTAGGACCCAATCTACATGGTTTGTTTGGACGTAAAACTGGTCAAGCTCCTGGGTATACCTACACTGCTGCCAACATTAGTAAAGGTAATCTCCAGAAGCTTTTGTTTGTTGTTATTTTTTACTGCACTTCAATAGAAAGATCAAAGTGAATAAGTCATTGTTTAAGTTTGCAGGAATCATAGTTCGCAGAGACAGATCAATGGATTCCCACAACATATAAAAGTGGGGATTCATCAACGAAACAAACAGAAAGTTTCTTGAGTCTGAGCCTTATCGATAAATGCGTTGCTAGCTTTCGCAAGCTTCAACAGCTACCATACAATCCATTATTTCTCACAGTCGTATCAGTTCAGTAATCTCAAAAGGTGACTTGTTCGCATAAGTGGGTTCAGATTTTTCACTCGAGACATGGACAATTCCAAAGCATTATCGAATTTTCCGTCACATAGCATCTTGTTATGAGAATCCATTCTTTTTCACCACCACTAAAATACTACTTTCTTGCTAACCTTCCTAATTTCTACCCATTTATCCAAATTGTATCAACTTTGACTAATGAATATCTGTGATCGTTTTGACCTTATATACGACTGCCCCCTGGTATTATGTCTATGGAACTGAGTTCGCTATTCCTCGACATGTAGTGGAACAAGTGGGTTGTTTTCGGGTTGATATCTTCGGGCTTGATACGGTTCATCCAGAATGATATGGTTCAGCGACCACTCGTCTCCTAGGATAGAAACTATAGGTGTTCCTATTGCAGTCTGATATCTCAGCTCAAATATTTCCACTTTTATGTTGACATGGTTTCTTTCGCCTTTATTTCATTCCAAACGTAACTTCCGATGTCTAAATTTTGCATGATTTTATTTTATTTAAACACCAAATGATTATGCGCCACATAAATCATTCGATTTGTGTGAAGGCTAGGATACTGCCCGGGTGCCCTAACCAAAGCAGATGGTTCTCCTAGGGGGCCACACCCAAGCCTTTGACCTAAAGGTTTAATCCACAAGACAGTGGACCAACGTAAGGAGATGCAGTCCCATGGTAGCTGGTGACCAACAATAGGTTCGTACGCCATTTGTTCCCTCAGGATTCTGGAGCCCATATGCATTATTAGTTTGTAATCAGGGTTTCCCAACTTCCGTGTTCAACTCCGCATCCACCGACCCAGTTAAAGCTCCGGACATACGCTATTCGTCCTCTCAATTTCGTAAACAACACCGCCGCGATAAGGCAGTGAGTAGGACTTCCCTGACAGTGGTTGTATGCATGTGGACATGTGGGAGCATTTTAAGAGGGAGAATTGACTCTCCCCACTCTCGGCCGTACCAGGGCATGACTTCCTAATCATGATATAATACTTTCTTTACCGAATTCTAATCTCCTGATTCCTCGTTGTCTCTTTTTTCTCTTCCCAAATTTATTTCACTGGATTATGCTCTTTGAATAACATCTTCAAACCCTACTCTTTACGGTTACTGCTTATATTCTTATTACCTCTACCACCACGGGATTTGAATCGACAACTGCATCTCTGTGCTAATGTGGTATGGCAACTCGAACTGATGTACGTACGTACGAACGAAGTTCTACGTTGTTAATGACTGACTGTTAAAACTGCCCTTCGATTGATGATGCCTAATTACTTGTATTTTATACACCCATTCGCTGATCCAACGGATTTTATTCTTATGACTTCTAGTTACCAGTACATTATGTCCGTCTAGACTGTGTATAAAAGATGTAAGTGGGATTGAAAAATTACGTTGATTTAGGAAATTATTTACTAGTGGTAGCAAACTATTACGTACTATAACAATCTTCTGTTCACAAACCTGATCAAACATTTATCGTCAGTCTCCAAAGATTATCTGTGTTTTACAAATAACTGGTAATTTTCACCTATGCAAACTTGTGAGAGATTTTTTACTAACAATATTATTATCGCATAAATCATCAATACGGTTGTTAATTCATTTATTATTTAATAAAGTAAGTCAAGTATTTATGGTGTAAATATGCTTTTTGCTTCTTTATTTCATGAACCACTATTTCCACTTACATTATCAATTCTTTCATTATTGCTTAGGTATCATATGGAATGAGCAGACTCTATTTGAATATTTGGAAAATCCAAAAAAATATATCCCTGGTACAAAAATGGTGTTTGCTGGTTTAAAGAAGGAAGCTGATCGCAATGATATTATTTCCTACCTTAAAGAAGCAACAAAATAAGAATATTCTAAATATCTGACTCCTAGATTTAACTTCGTTGTAGCAGTTCTTTAATTAACTAAATATGTATAGAAACATAAAACCTGAGCTTCCAAGTACGTGAAAATGAATACTCTTGGCTGTGTATTTCTGATCTCTTCTGAGGTCAATATACTATGATAATTCAGTTTCTGAGATTTTTGTAAAATTAATACTAGTGCAAACATATTAACATAATAATGAAGTGTTTATCTAATTTCTTCCGTGTATTCGGATACAATAAGCTTGAAATGTCCTTATTGCTATTATACTGTTTGCCAATAGTTTCCATTTGTTTTCAGTCACTGCTCAAACTAATTCCCAGTGGAATAATAGCTTGGTGATTGAATTGATTGGAGCCATATAATCTCAGGTTCACATACTACTTTTGTTTAGGTTGTCGGCGGTTATGTTTCTCAGTTTAAAATTAAATAAGTTTTAGTTATGCTTATTCGCTTCACAATAAATTTCGAGTAAGCATATTTCATCTCGTCGACTAAAATCAGCAGAAGAAGTGGTCGTCCTGGCAAAACAACTGGTTGCAGCAACAAGTTGGATAGAAATCTGGATTCTGACATACATCCTACCGAACTTAGTATGACGGCATATTTAATTCGTTTGCTTTTGCCATTATGAAACAAATTTAAATCTGTTGTTTGAAATAATAGTTCTATGTAAATCAGGTGAATGGACTTACCTTTAATTGCAGTTTTAGGTAGCTTTTATATTTACACACACTTCACAATTTGAGTTGTACGTTCTCATTATTTACTATTGGTCACTCTCATTCATCTACTTCGAATATAATTGATATAAAGATGAGTTTCTAAAGTAGAATCTCTGTCGACATTCAGATCAGTATGTACTTCGAATAGGACTTTCTGGGTCGAATAGCCACTTGCAAAATACCAGATGTTCATGATGTGATTTCATTAAACCAATATGCCTTGTCATTTTTAACTGCACGACAAAATAAGACTGTTCTTTTATTGATTTTTATATATTCATAATCCCAGGTAATCTTAAAGTAATTCATTAGGATTTTAGATGGTTTAGTCTGTAGAAGTAATCATGATGGATAAAATAGAGTCTATACAGGTCTATACGAGTCACAACCAACAAATGAGTTTGTTATGTGGGTATTTTTGAGTCTGTTTTATGTGTTCTCAGGAAATAGCCCATGCGTCGAGGAGTAATTCTTAAACAGAAGTGTGAATTAAACTGGAAAATCCAAAACTAAACGTATATACTTTCCTAACAGAGCGATCAGTTAAATTACCTACTTATTAGCTTATCAAAACATTCAGCAAATTTTGGAATAGTTTCTAGAATAGACCTACTGTCTTTCTAAACTCACATAGATGATCGATTGAAGATGTAAATAAATAAATATCAAAAAATCTAGATTGGATAAAGATATTACGATGTACTGAAGGACTTGGATTTCTGATCTAACCTTCGTCGATTCTACTGCACAGAAAGAATTTTAACAACTGGTTTAATAAATAAGCACTTTCGTCTAGATTTTAACGAGTAGCTTCACAGTATTTGGGCGCCGAGTTAATGTGAGACATTGAAGAGAAAAAATGTATTTGTAAAATCTCAGCAAAATAATTTGAAGTAAATCCAACTTTTCGCCTGGCAACCTGGTTCAAGCTTTTTCAAAGAAAATATAATCAAACGTCAAAATTACCGAATATAAATAGGTACATGGTTCTCTGGTTTACTAGAGAAAAGCTTGGACCAGATTGCCAAGCAAAACGCTGGATTTGCTTCAAATTCTTTCGCTGAGATTTTACAAACATATTCTTCCTCTTTAACTGATTTGATATCTTGAAAAATAACGTAAATGTCATCAAGCCTTAAAGACATTTCGAGTGCTTGCTGCTATGGAGCCCTACTAGGGAAAATTACTCTTTTAAAACTTAGTGGCTTTTGTTGTACCTCTAGCAAATATCACTTGGTGGAAAAATTGCACAACTAAATAGGAATATCTAATTATGTGTGTAGTTTCAAAATAATCAACCTAGACATTTAAACTAGCTTAAATCGATTACACCAATTTATCTGTATTTAACCGTACGACTAAATAAGTTAAACCTCATACAATCCGTGAATGATGCGGATCAAATATTGGGATGAAAAGGTTTCAAAAGGATTGCGATGATCAAATAATCTGAGACGTTATTTCATCTGTTACTTAACATAAGTCATGTTAGTAGAGAACAAATTACGGTTGTAACCTTTTGTAAATATTGGTTTCCTCCTACTATTGGGATTTTATATAGTCTCAATCTAGAAAGGGGCTATCGAATGGTAGTTAAGTGATGTCGAATATGTATTCGAACAGCTATATTTTTGCGTTTCTATTGTGTAACGTCTCTTATGGAGCTATGAACAGCTTACCATTGGTATTTTGACAACTGGCTAAAGAGTCAGAGCCACTTTAAAATAACAATCTGTAATGAAGTATACTCTGATCACTATTATCTATAGGGTTCAGGAAAGTTCACTTTTTGGTGAGCAAACAACTCTGAGAGGTTCACAGGACTTCCCATAAAGGTAGTCGAAAAGTTCTTGGACTTTCATTTCAAAACGTTTTTCATCGAATGAATTTTGTTCTCTTGATGTTACACTCGTGAAACCTAGGTCGGTTTATTAGTTTCTGAATGTATAATAACATAATATCCGAATTTACATTTCCATAACGAGGTAAGAAATTGATGAGAATTCCAAGTAAACCGTGTGTTCCCACTAGTCTCAACTATTGTACACTGGTCAGAAATTCTTCATACTCTTTGTAAAGCAGATAGAATATGGCTACCGGTATGTTTCGTCCCGCTTGGGGTTCGTCGGCTGAATGTATCTGCATTCGTGTGCTGATCTTCATATCGGGACATAAAATCAGTACCTTTCTCTTCACAACTTGCGAAATAATGGTTATATCAAGTTAATCGGCACTGGGCGCACATATGTCAACTAAAACTGAACAGAATCCAGTCGAAAATATCAACAACCAAATAGTTTAACCCTTTACGAATGAAATTGACTGTTTTGTGTTACTTTTCCTATAACTATACGCCACATGCTTTGAATATCTGCAGCCAGATTAGTGACTTGATTCTCCCCATAACACGTTTAACAAACACTGTTTGGATGTGAGGTTGATTGATTAAGATTTCGATTTGAAAAAAATTGGTTATCCTAAAGCAACAAAATGTTGGTTGCATCAGTTGTGATTCTGTCAGTAGGAGATATTTATTTGCACTCGTTGATATTACTTAGTTTTAATGTCTTAGATGCTAGTACAAATTAGTTTTTCGCTATACATATCAAAGTACATTCGATTGCCACCTCGATTTTGAAAATGTCAAAGAGATCCCAGCAAAAAAGATATTTTTTGGAGTTACTTCCCAGTATGATAGATTCTTCTAGATAATAAATCATGTGCACACTAGTGAATCAACTACTTGAGAAAATTACCAGAGAACACCTATCTTAAAACAGTTATCATACCACAGAATATTCCAAATACTAATAAATATATGTTACTGATGTATTATATGTCATTTTGAAAATTTTGTCAGATATACTCAAGGTAAACCGTAAAGTGTATCAAACATATGAAAGTGGTCATATTAGAATCAATTAAAGTAATAATAAACGACAAATAGAACCATACGATGGTGAGTCGCGCGAAGTATTAATTTAGTGGTCAAAGATTCAGACTCTGCTCAACTTACTTGGATCTTGAGAATCAGAAAGATTCACTGACCTTAACAAATAAAAGGTATGATCCAACTTCCGAACAAATTACCCTGTACTTCACAAAAGAATAACGTTGTATCATTATAGTTTTACATGTTCGGAAGCAATCATCCGAATACATTTATAGGTATTTGATAAATATTTAATGTTAGTAAACTAGTTCTGAATGAATATTTTTGGTTTCTGGACAACTAACTAGTAAAATCTGTCCTTGTGATGCTGTATTAAGTGAATGTTCATTCCAGGTAAGCAAGGACTTGTTGATAGGTTGGGGCGAACAACACTGGAACAAAGCAGATCGACCCACATTCACTGTACTAAATAAATCTTATTTATTTATTTAAACTCATAAATACGGGTACGAAGTAGCGCCGAAAAATTTCTGAGACACACTAGAACAATGAGACTATAAAGAGATAGAAGGCATGATGAAGAAAAAAATAAGTGAATGGTTGTAAAAAAATAATGGAGGAAGCAGTTCAGTTAAGAGAAGTTCCTCTCACTTATACGAAGTTACATGAAGGTTACAACAGGACCACCAATAGCTTTTATCTTGAAACTTTTCTGAAAACATCTCAAGCCACTGTGCTACACTAGAACCTCACCCAGGGAGTCATGAATGTCTGACATATGCCAGTTATGTACAATTGTCTTTCATACCACGGCACTGTCATAAACTGACCACCGTTTTTTCGAACCAGTCTCAGCATCAGAAAATAATGTTTTGATATATATGCATGCATATCCTCTAAACCATCGAAATATGTTGTGAAGATCATAAACAATCAACAATTCGGGGAAAAAAAACAAGTTTTTATCGAGAAGCTCATTAAACCAATAGAAAATAGATGAATACTCCTCACAATTAACATGAATTTACATTTTGGTGTACTTGTGTAAGAAAGTATATAGGTAGGACTGAGAAAAGAAGTCCTGAAAATAGTCCTAGGAACCAAATCTCACAATAAAACAAAGTCCTCACAAATGTAATATACAGGTCCTTAGTGTACAGTCGACACAATATGGTTATTTCATAGATAATTAAAAACAAACAATGAGTACTAGATTTATCGCACTCCAAAGAATCTTCAATCAAGAGTATACTATAATTTATCTATATGAATGAAAGAATGTTAAGCTGATATTGTAAAAGATGCTAAAATAAGCTAACTATAACGTAATCTTTTGTTTTTACCGACCCAGAAACTTTCATTCACTCGATAAAATTTATAGCACTTTTGGCAAGTTTATAATTTATGGACGAATCAATCAGGTTTCGGATTTCGGTGCGGAATTCACCCATTCATTTGGCTAAATAGGGTTTTGGCATTATAGCTAATGTTAGTTCGTGATGAAAACTCTAAATCTAACGATCGATTATAAATCATAATTCTAATTCCTCACGCTTCTTTATAACCCTCATTTGGTCCTAGTTATTAGGTGAATATTCTCAACATCACTTTAGCGTTGCTCAAAGGTCGTCCATAAATTATAGTCTCACTGCACTATCGATTAAATATGGAATCATATATAAATATTACGAGTTATGGTAATCATCTTACTTGCTACAAGTGGTTAACTTTTCTAAATCAAACTTTGCATCAATCTTAACCACAGTGTATTGTATTGTTTTTCACTTGAATTACCATTTAACTGTCTTATTTTTGAACTCTTCTCTCAACTTTACGTTTAACCATATTACTGAAACATTTTATGGTTGCCAAGATCCCCTAAAATGGATAACAAATTCATTTCATTCTATTAATCTTGTTATCTTAGCTCTGAGTTCAAAATGATCAAAAGAATAAAATGACATATGTATTTTATTTTACCGGTTATTTCCATTAGGATACTATTAAATGAAATAGAATGGTGATTTAATACTGAAATTAATCAATCACATATTCCAACTAAATTCTACTTAGTTAAGTTTAAGCGCCGAATCAATGTATCCTCAGTGGTTATACACAAGTAATATACCTTAAATAGTGAATATGTAGTGACCTACTTTTATTAAGAGAACGCGATTGGTTTAATCGAAACAATTATTATTATAACCAATTGTACCAGGGATTGTTTTACCGTACTTGTTTGTTTAACTGCACCAAAACACACACATTCTTCCATTGATTGTGATCTTGCACGAATTCGGTTACGCTCAGTAACCACACTTGTAACCTGGCACGATCTTGATATTCTTTCTATACCACGAGATCGCCAACAAATACATCTCGACTACAGCCATCAACTGCCTTCTAATATTTGGCTTACGGGGGATCTTATCGGTTAACTGGCACGTAGTTTTCCTGTAGTGATGATCATAGTCAACCGAGACTCGACGCCACACTACAAATGCATGAATTTGTCATTAAATAATGGAAAATATTTCTCCTTCATTAGTAAAAAGTGTACGTTTTTTTGTTTACATCATTTTCTATATAACACTTTCTTCAGTTCTATCATGATACAAATTTCGGACATTTATTGATTAGCACTAATAATTGTAAATTGTTGGCCAGTTTATACGAGATAGAGAGAGAGAGTAAGAAAGGTCAACATAAAACAAGTTTTGAAAAGGTTGATGTATTTTACATATATATGCAATTTTCACAGATTGAAATCATGAGTCAGTTGAAGCTAGACCACCATTGAAAACCTGGAAGCACTGGATGGCCGTTTCGTTCTAGTATGGGACTCCTCAGCAGTGCGCATCCACGATTCCGCACCCCGCGGGATTCGAACCCAGAACCTACTGGCTTCGTGCGCGAGCACTTAACCATTTATCAGTTAATATGTCACTTCTGATATATACAGTAATTATATACTAAATCTATTCAATCTTATGCTTAGTCATGAATTATTCAAAATTAATCGGGAATACAGTAATGCCTAATGAGATAATGAAATTGTTAGCGGGACATAGACTAGATTAAATCATGCTAAATGCACGATTGTTTTGGTGCACTCTGATTGGCTAATTCTTGTCGAATCAGCGTTAGTCAATACTTAGTGAACACTCTAGAAATCTTCTCATGTGAAAAACTATAAATATACTAATGTTTTCCCTATTGTACTTACTTACTTCTTACTTCCATCTAATCTTGTTATTTGAAATATAATCTCTTTCCTGTTCAACTGTGTTCTGATTTGGGGACTTGTCGAGTGATTTGGTGTCCAAGAATACTAAGCAATAGGAATCGCTGGGCTATAACCGTAAGAGAGAATTATAACAAAAATAAAATGTACACATATGTGATTCATACATAAACCAGTCTGTTGGGGTGATCCAGAAAACTTCTCGTAAAAGAGAAAAAAGGATTAGAAAAAACATTGTGAAGCATTTCATCCAATCAGCGTTCAGTAGAAGTTTAGCCAGAAACATCAAGAAAGTGAAAAGTCACATGCAGAGTTTCTGATTAGTTGATTACTCATACTGCTACTATATTTAGTAGCATTCTAGAATTCTCGGGAAACCCGAAGACATCTAAAATACTATAAAAACCCCTATATTTTCTGTACTAAAATGAACCTTTGGAGTAAAGTGCTTCTCGCATATTTTGCACATTTTCTCTTGTGTTCAGGTCGCTGTGTAGTTCTAGCTTGGGGGTTACGAGAATAGTTTAGGAACAGAATATAGCGTTCAATTAGCAAGACTTATCACAGTCATACATAAGTAATTAGTTATTTTAAGAAGAAAGATATAATTTTGTTAGCAGTGTTTTTATTATTCAATGAAAAGAGTGTTGGTTAGTAAGTATTTTCGTGATCTGAGCATTATTTTAGACTTATTCAATCCCTTCTTAGTCAACACAATAGATGATAACGTGAAGATCATTCAGTCTAAAACTAGTGAAATAGACTGGAAAACTGCCAACTATCAAGGAACATCAAACCAATGTTTCGTACTTGTTTAGGACTTTGAGAACGTGGGGATGATTTGTAGCTCAGGTGAATGATTTTGATGGAATATTTTTCTTTGAGCTGGATGTTTTGGTCGTGAAGCTTTCGTCGTTCTTCTGAACAACATCACCAATACAATCTTCAGATAAAAGTGAATTGTTCGAATTTCTCTACATATGATTCACAACTTGTCTTATCGACTTCGATTATTATGCCTTAAGTATTGACGATAGGCTAATTTTAAAAAAAACCCAGTAGTATATTAATAATTTGGTCTTGTATAAAAAAAGAAGGAAAATGTGAAGACATTTTGAAAAAAAAGTGAGATAGAAACAGCTATCTTATATTGATTTTACAATCTGAAAAAAGATATATTCGTCTTCAAAAAAAAACTGTTATTGTACTTTAATTCTATTATTATAAACAGTACAGTCAGCTGTTATTGTTATAGTAATAACATCCATCTTAATTTCATTGCCAATGTCATATATATTTGTGTACTTTTATTTGTTTTGTAACGAACTTCCAACATGTTCATTTACACACACACACACACACTAGTACACATAGAAAGGCCATATCAGCACACACAGAAGTAGTTTATTAAAAATTCTGTACAATTATACAATAGTTCTTTCTATCATGAAGAGATGTGACAGGTGAAAAATTGTTCAGTGTTAAAAAGCATTTAACATTTGTATTATTTTGGTTTAAGAATCTTCACAAACGTATTCTAAAAACATCACATGTGACCGAATTCAGAAGAATCAAATATTATTCCTGCTGTTGAGTCAATCAATCAGTTCAACGTAGAACTTCGTACGTACGTACATCAGTTCGAGTTGCCATACCATATGAGCACAGAGATACAATTGTCAATTCAAATCCCGTAGTGGTACACGTAGTAAAAGTATAAGCAGTAATCGGGAAGATTAGGGTTTGAAGAGTATAACCCAGCGAAATAAATTTGGAAAGAGGAAAAAATGGACATGAAGAGTTCAGATTAGAATTTGGGAGAACACAAAGAATGGATGCACCTGCACCGTAACAAACGATTCTGATCAATGTCATTCAATATCTCTAACCATCGGTTACTATCATCTCGTAGTCCCCAACCAGGTAGTCTACACCTGATGAAGTTTCACTACTTCATCAATTGATTTGCCATCCTTACCTAGTACCCGTTTCCTAACAACTGCATTACTTACTCGAAGGTCCCAGAATATACAAGCAATATTTCGAAGATACCTATGGTCGACTACTAGTAACCTACGAATATCCTCTACTCTTACTGGACATATCTCACTGCCATAAAGTAGGACGGAACGGACAGCTGTGCAGTAAACGCGTCCTTTGGTTGGTAGACGGATATCTCGCCTACGCCATAAATGACGCAAGTTGGTAAATCTAGTCGAGCCTTCTGTATCCGTGCTGAGATTTCGTCACACACCAGACCACAAGGGCTGATGAGACTTCCAAGATAAGTGAAGCGGTCGACACACTCAACTACTTCACTCCATATCATTAGTTCGAGTGTCAATGCAACACAATCCTGAAGCAACATTTTGCATTTCAAGGGAGAGAATCGCATCCCGAACATGCTTGCATTGTTGCTTAGAGTGGTCATAAGACTGCATTTTGTCAGCGTCTTCACCAAATAAAACTATGTCATGAGCATATTCTAAGTCAACAAGTGAACCTCCCGGTGGAAGTTCAACTCCTATAAATTTAGATGAGGAAAGTGTTATCTCTAAAAGCGCGTCAACGACAAAGTTAAACAAGAATGTAGAGAGTGGACAGCCCTGACGAACACCACTTGATGTAATCAATTCTGATGACAGTTCGCCATAAGCTCTCACTTGACCAGTTATGTTCGAGTAGAGAGCCTTTATAAGGTTGATGTACTTCTTTGGTACCCCGTTCAGTGACAAACACTGCCATAGAACCTCACGATCAACAGAGTCGAATGCCGCCTTAAGGTCGAGAAATACTACCATTGTGGGGCGTCTGAATGTGTGTCTGTGTTCTAGAACCTGACGTAGTGTGAATATCTGATCTATACAACCACGTCCAGGTCGAAAACCGGCCTGGTTTTCTCTAATCTGCTCTTCACGAGCTTTGATTAGGCGTCGAAGTATTATTGAAGCTAATATTTTAGACACTATATTAGTCAAACTGATTCCTCTGTGATTGTCACAAGAGGATTTTTGTCCTTTCTTATAGAATGGCACAATCAGTGATTAAGACCAGTCAGATAGGATTACGTCCAGTTCCCAGATTCTACCTAAGACCTCAGTCAATCTCGCCGCTAATACTGGACCGCCATCCTTAAAGATCTCAAAAGGGCCTTCTGCTCTCCCTGGCTTCAGATTTCGAATAGCTTTTCAACTTCGTAAAGTCGGAAGACCTACATTAACTTGCCATTCAGGTTGACTAGGGATCGTGGGAAACCAAAGTGTGGTTGAAGGCCTGTTGAGCTAATTCCTAAAGTGTTCTGCCCATCGATCCGATCTCCTGGGTTAAGAATGTATAATACGTCCATCTTTTTCTGAGATAGTTTCGCTAACAGTCAGGTTCCTAATACAAGTTTCCTAGCTTTTCAGAGAAGGTCGGAAAGCTTTCTGTAAAACTCATCTTTTACATCGTCTGAGCTGCAGTCAGTGGGAAAGTAGGCAGAGACGACGAAGAGGCAACGAAGAGTATCCCAATCTTTGTGAGTCCTTATTGTTCCATTTAGTCGGACAGCGCACAAACGACTGTCTACTGGGATCTACTCTAAGAGAGCTAGTTATGAAATGGGACTCAATGCTATACCTACGCCAACGAGGTCACGGAGAGCAGCATCTGGGTTTCCAGATACATGAAGTGTGAATCGAGTTGGACCTTTGTTTTGACATGGTGATGTCAAATGAATGACGCTACTCAGATCTTGTATGTGCGGTTCGGAGATGCAGCACACATCGATGGCGCGAGATTCTAAAGTCTCAGCTAAGGAAGTTGGATTAATATTGGTCTTAACGACCTGGGAGCGTGACCGCAGAGCCCAAGGGTCAACTGCTTGAGGCCGGTCGCGCACGGCCTTTTCGTGGGAGTATTTTAGTGTGTTAGCTCCGTTCTTCAAAGAGCCTTACCTCCGGAGACGGAAATCCATGAGGTAAGGTGAGGTGTGACATTTTTAGAGCCGACCTTTTCTAACCCCTTCCTTCTTTGTGAGAAGGCAACATCGCTGTCATGCTGGTTGTCCGAGGGAAACACCTTACTGCTGTCATACCCCTCTACAGTCAGCAGTACGACTTTACCCTCAGACCTTGAGTTACTATTTTTAGTCTTACCGTTCTTCAATCGACCTGCCTGGCATGGTAGAACCTACAGAAACATATGTTCCAGCTAATATAGTTCGGTTGGGTCATCACGATAGGCAAGCCTGACCACCACGTCAAGGTGGCAACAACGGTCAGGGTACATCAAACATACTTAAAGAATACATCTTTTATCACATAATTTATTGCAAAATTATACTTTGTTCTAAATTCTGAAGAAAAAGAAGGAGAACAACAAAATAACTCGTCTAATTGCACATGATTAAATCAAATAAACAAATTCACAAGAACAAATACACACAAACATATACATGAAGTAATGAAAATGAACGCGAAACGTAACGCAAAAAACAGAAAAGAGAAAAAAAAATCAAATCAAATGGAATGTTTAAACAACAATGAACATAAAGTCCCTAGTAATAGACTCACCGCACCTCCCTCAACAACAACAACAATATTAAACCTTCATCAACATTATAATGTTGATAATATTTTTTCAATACATAATGATAAATGTTTACGAAATATATTAGATGAATTACAAAATAAACTTAAATTTATTGAAAATGAATCATTTTTGAAAAGAGTATTTAACCAATATGAAACTTCTAATAAACATAATTGATTATCAGATATTGTTTGACCAGTTAAAAATATAGTGATATATGATGTTTGATTATTATGATTATTGACATCCGTTGTTGTTGACGATATTGTCGTCGTCGTCGTCATCATCATTGCTGTTGATGTTGTTGTTGTCGACTTTCCATTAGAATAACAGTTCATATTCTCATGTAATTCCATATCATTACAGGCAATATATTTATGATTTGTGTGTACTTTATAAAATTGATATTGAATATTAATATGTTGTAAAAGATGAGTTATTAATTTGGATAACAATTCAGTTTGATACATTCCTTCATTATTATTAATTATAGTTACTATATGATTATGATAAAATGATTGACTTAATCTAAGTTTAGCTACAAAAGAATTTAAAAAAATATCATTATTGAACATCTTTTAAAGTTTGATTAAACCAAAATGAATATGAAGTGTTAAATACTATTAGTTTAATAAGTAGTACCATGTTTGTTTAATTCTTTATACTGATTAAATTCTATAATCAGTATAGGATTGTGGAGATGATTATGTTATTGATTGAGATTAAGAATCCTGCGAGTGGGATAGTGGATGCGCACTGCTGAGGAGTCCTACAATAGGACGAAACAGACGTCCAGTGCTTTCAGGTTTTCGATGGTGATCTAATATCATTAGGTTCTTGATCTC